ATGATAAATAATGGCTTTTATTTGTTTACATAAACAATAAAATTTAGTGAGATACAGTGATAATGAATAATGAATTTTTATTGTTTCGAATAAAGTTTGGTGAGAAAATTACCGGTAAGCTGATAAGAAGAAAGATATTTAACGCAATCAAGGAAGATTGTTGATTAATATCATTTACTTATTTTGTTATTTTCATTAATTCAGGCTAGATTTATTATAGAAAATGCAGTACTCGAGCACTTGGGAAGCAGATATTATCTTAGAATTCCACAAAAACAACAGTACAAAAGCGGAGCAAAATACATTCTCACAAACGTTGTACAATTTCATCCGACTGATTGTGAGAGCATTTATGGTTGATGCGTGCGCAAGTAGTAAGTTCCGTGATCTAGTCAGACCGTCTGTAGCGAAGAACGAAACTTCTCGTGTACTTAAAAGCGTGTTTATCTAGTCAAAGCATGATTATATCCGTCTTTCAAAGATATTAATTTCCAGTTACATACTCTTGCTTAGAAATAAATTTAGGGCATTCGTTATCTCTAAAATCAACGTTTAAGCACCCGACAATGGTATAATGGTCTGAAAAAAGAAACGAGGAACAATAATAGCGTTATTCAGAACAATAGCGTATTGTGCTAGTGCAATATGTTGGCAAATGATTAAAATAACTGCGAGATGTGTGCCGGAGTATCTCGAGGTCGTGCCAAGTGAATCTCAAGGTGAGGCTCACTTAAGCGCAAGGAAATGAGACGCGAACTCGTCTCGTAATTAAGAACCGGTGCGAGAAACGCGCAGAGGACGGAGGAAACGGTTAAGGGATATAGGTCCAGGGACGTGGAGGTAGGGGGTCGCGTCGGCCGACTGGAAGTTTAACGAACTCGAACAAAGAGAAAGAGCCTTCAGCAACGAGGGACGAGGATTGACGAATGGGATGCTGCTGGCGCTAGCTCTGCCTCCGCCAGGTTAGAGCGGAGGGTGCGCACGTACATTTTCTCTCTCATTCCCGTTCTCTCTTTTCAACCCTCTCTCTTTCTCTGTCTCTCTCCTCTCCTTCCCCCCCCTCTCTCTCTCTCTCTTTCTCTTTCTCTCTGCTTTAGCCATCACGGAATAGCGGCGAGCCCCCGTGTATTACGAACCAGCCACCCCCATAACACTACCCCTTGGTGCTGTATCGATCCATCGCGGTGCCGGCTTCGAGCTCTCCCTCCAGAGCCAACGCCGGAGACTTCGGCGTTGTGCGACGCGACGCGACGCGACGCGACACATCGCGTGGCGGGATTGCTTGAACAAAGGAAACGCGATGCTGCTGTGGAACCTTTGCGGTGTTTCTTTGTCTCTTGCCGGCGAGATTCGTCGAGACTCGCGTCTTTCTCGGTCGTTGCGTATTTGCCGGGCGAAAAAGCGTCGACGTGTGATTCTAAACTTCCACGCTCTTCTTGAAATTCTCTTTTACTCCTGAAATTAGAAATTAGAACGACGAGAATTGTCATTATTAATGGTTTTTGACTTTAACTACGCTAGATAACCCTGCGATATTTAAGAATTGTCGGCTATTGTGTTACCTTAGTTGGCTCAGCTAACAGCTCAAGCTTTGCTGGCCTTTGTTAGCCTTTCACCGCTAAAATAACATTCGCCGAGGAATTACTGACTAACTCGGAATTCTTAATAATGATTTAACAATTGTGATAATACAAGCCATTAGAAAAAAATTGCGCTTACAATTAGAAGAATTGCGCTATCAGAGATTTAAAGATTTGGAAGTTGATTGATATTAGCATAAATATTTAGGAATTAATCAAAACCAGCTGTCTGAACAAAAGTACAACAAATTAATAAGATTCAAATAAAGCTGTATTTCCGCAAGACGTACGCATTTCATGTTCTATACATCATACAGTCGAGACAACTATATAGAGAATTAATTCAGCGATATATAAACAGACGACTAATTTAAACATAGCATCGAGTGACATCGAAGCCAAAGTTTCGACTTCCTTTCTGTCTCGAGCAGTTTCTAAATATATGCTAATGAATTTCGAACTTTTACATTTAATTCAAAATATACAGCTACATTTCTGATCGCATATTAAAGAGCCTCCATTAAAGAGGATCTCTGTCGCGACATAAATAAAGAAATCATCGAGTAGAGAGACGTATACTTTGTTTAATTCCCTTTGTTTATCGTCCTCAAGAAAGTCTCGCGATTTGCTTCCCAATTCTAAATATGACAAGAGCTGGACGTTTATATTTATTTAAAGTAAAAAAGATTTGTATAGTGTCACTGATTTTTGAAGATTATTCTAATTATATTGCGATTATTCTAATTATCGAGTAACGTCGCGTCGAATCAAGCTTGCTACAAACAGATAATCTAAAAATTGCGATTATCTTTAAAGAAAAGATATTAAAAGTTTCAAAAGATGTACAAAAGTTTAAAATACATCCGAGAGATCGAGACACTTCTTGTTATTCGCATAAACGTATTACGTTATCACATCTAACATTTTAACGTTTAAGCTCGCGTCTTAAACAGGTCGGGGGATCGCACTTGACACGTTAACATGGCATTATACTTATGGAGGTGTATGTTGAATGCAACGTGAGCGCGATACGGAATAAGCGCGGGTATCGCGCGCGCTCGGCCCGACGTTTTGTCGAGCGAGACAAATGGATCCTTTTGGAACATTGACTACCGGCAACGTATTTGCCAGCCGCCACTCCGCGCTGGCGGAATTGTTTTGTCGGCTTAAAGAGCCGCGCGCCGGCCAGGGTGTTTTGTTCGGTTCAGCAGCTCGAGCGTTTCCCTTGTTCCGCGCCTGCCGCCGCGGAACCTACCCCGACGCTGTGCGTCCGCCGCGCGTACGGCACTTCCGCTTGAATCCTGCGATTTAACGTTCGTTAGAAAGGAAAGCGCGCTCGTTAAGCGTTAAGTGAAATTAACCCAGTTCTGACGTCGCGCGCGAGTCGAACTGGGTTGCCGTAGCACGAAAATGTTTCTTTGTGGATAATGACGACGATTTCTCTCGAAATCAATTAGATTTAATAACTCTGAAGTAAATATCGTTCACTAAAACATTGTAACAATTTCTATAGATATTCTGAAAGTTTTTAGATTTGTTATATCTCTAGAGATTTATATTATATTTGTATATATTTTATCACATGTTATACAGAATTTATATTTGTATTTTTATACATATATCTCTTTTAGCGATATTTATAAAGGATATTCTCTAGCTCCGGAATGTAAAATCTCTTGCTATTTGATTCGTATTCATAAATATATTTTTTTTATTGAAGCAGCTGCTTTAATGTACATTGGCAATCGCCATTGAGAATTTTCAAATAGCTCGAATGCTGCAATATCTTCTCTGTCGTGTCAATAGCATTGGGCAAATAGCATTGTGATTCCGATATTTTATGTCAGTCTTTGGTTACACATCAGCGTATATATGTATATGTATACTTTTATATATCGGAAAAAGGAAAGAAAGAAAAGGGACGATCACAGCGCGAGCGAAAGCGTTATTCACAAAGGGACGAGGGAGTATATCCAAGAGATAGCACTCGCCTTAGTAGATCCATTAAAGCACCCTCACTGAGCTTAAATCCACCCTTCTGTGTAATGTTCTTGCATATAAGAGCACGTCGAAGGACACTCCTATTTCATCTCGTTCGATTAAATGTCTCGAATTTCGAGCGATGTCCTCCGCCACGTCGTCCAACACAATCAAACGCGACCGCAAATCGCGCGAATGAATTCGCGCGGAATTTCGAACGAGACACCGGGAATTTCTTAAACGAGACTCATCATTAAATGCTCGCCTTCTTTTTACGCTCGAAACGGCACACGCCCGTTATACGTCTCATTAAACGAACAGACCGCCTTTGCTCTGAACGCATTATCTGTGGCATAATTAACTACGAATCAGCGATTAGAGGAGGCAAGCGATTCTGTGACGAAAGAACCTTTTACCTTGCTAATTTTATCGTGACTTTAACGGAAACGGCAGAAACGGAAACAAGCGATCGCTTTTCCGTGTACCGCTTAAGATAAATCTCCGCTTAACCGGATTATAGTTGCATTTTTTCTCATTTCATAACACGCGCCTCACGGTACGACTTCTGACGGATAACGAGCGAACACCCGACCGCGCGCGGTCGCCCGAAGCGCGACTCGTGAATCGCGTAACGCGTATTTCTGCACGACACGATGATACGTAAGAGATGGGCTTCTCTTCGCTCGAGCGACGAGCGCAGCAAATCGCTCGTTTCCTGCCGCGCGCGAACGAGAAAGTTCATTCCTCCGCCGTCGTGCATTCCTCGCGAGGCACGACGTCGCGTTTACAGCGACGAGAAAATAACGGGTCTCTTTCGCCTGAGACTTTGTCCGATCTGAGCTTTGTTCTTTTTTTCTCTCTCCCTCACTCTCTCTCATTCTCTCTTCAGTACATATTTGCAATGTGAAATAATGTTTCGCGAGTTTTTTCCATTACCGATGGTTGAAATACAATCGCTTAGCTTGTATTGTGTACCGACAAATCAGAATCTTAATAGAATTATGCATTTCATGTTAAAGACAGATATTCAAACAATTTAATAAATCAAATATACTTTGCCTTTTGATTACTTTATTTGTTCTAGGTGACACATGCGATTTTATATCGGATCGATTATTACGAATTTGTCTTATCTCGCACGTAACAATGATTAATGTATTACGTGTTAGAAATTTGTGATACATGGATCCGTTTATATCACTTTTCGTCACAAGTTCACAACCGCGAAGTTAAAGTAAATATTATAGCAATGACATTATTATAGGTATAGAATCACGTCGCGTGATATGACGAATCAATAGCAAAGTGTGGCCCATGTATTTGAACATGACATTTTGCGTGCCACATGCTTCATGTAACATGCGTTTCCGTGCTGATAAGATTGATAAGGTCTCGAATGGTGGGATTGCGGCCTGAGCTCGTTTACGCCCAAAGTATCGACACGTTCAGTGATAATTCTCGTTTAAACGTGTTGCCACGCAAACCGTCACTTGTGCTATTTAATTATTTGTCATAGCGTGACAGCGCGACAGTTTCGATCAAGGAACAATAATGCCTGGTAAGCAGTGACATTGAATATAATAAAGAAATAAACGGGTGAAGGTAGTAATAATCAAATCACGAAGCAAGTATAAAGTTCATGTTATTTTGATCTTGGGATACGATTCAAAAAATAAAGAAATAATTCTATTTTGTAATGTATTAGCTATTAAAATAATAAATATGTTGATTTAATAATTAGTTTAATAAGTATTAAATTATTTATAGCTTGTTGAACGTTTGTATTCGCCTTACCAGGTTTAGGAATTTTCTGGTAATGAATATCCCGAGATCTGTTGCGGTTTTATATAATTATAATTATATAATTATAATTATAACAATTTTATAATTGCATTTATTCGTTAATTATAAAAGAACTATTTAATTAAAATATTCGTTAATTATAAGAGAAATAAAAGAAAGTATATAATATTTCGACAAACATGATAAGCCAAATAAGCCAACGTGGAAGTAAATTATCTTTTCGTTATCTTAAACTTTTCTTCTTATGATAGGACATATAATAAAGCTTACTTAATAGTCACACACTGCACTGTTAAAGGTTAAAGGATGAAATTTAATCTAATACTATGAGTTAGATTTATTTTGTTATTTTTAACTACCATGTGCGTCAAAATTTATTAGTTTGAAACAAAATAGGATATTATTTTAACTTCATTGGTTTAGTCAAATTAACATTGTTTTAGTTAAATTAACTACATATTAAGTAGGAGCAGTGGTGACCTATGGAATAGTTAAAAATTACTCAAAATTGAGTTTAATTTAACAGTGTGTAACGGCGTTAACGATTACTCACTTATTTGCCTTATGAGAGGTAATCGATACGATAAGCAGCAGCGCGATAAATTATCGACTGGAATCTCGAAGTGTTAACATTACGACTAGATATTTCGTGGAAACATCACGAACATTTGATGATTTCTGTTGTAGGATATAGATGGGCGAGATGGCCGATATCTTACGGTGATCGTAGCATGTTGATCTCCATCGGCAGGGACTTGGACGGCATGAATCTCGTCGTAGGTCGTGCCATGCACATGGGCGACATGATCCCGGCGAAAGTGAAGCCGGATCATAACGTTGCCTACGTGTGTCACGGAGGTTCCGAGCACACGAAGCACGACTTCGAGGTATAACCAAACGCGAGAAACAAGAGATTCGAGTCTCTTCGTTAATTCGCACGTCGAATTCCAAGCGAAATTCTGTTTTCTTTCCAATTACGCGGCGCTGTTGATCGAACGCCATAAATCGCTGTCTTTTACACTCGTAATTAATCAATTTGTAATGACGTAACGCGCATTGCATTTTCATGTGCCTCTACCTAGGTAATTACAGGCGCTTTGGTTTCATAACGCTACTGTTCCTCCTTTCCTTAATAAGCGAATTAAAGAGCTCGCGTAAACCCTTACGTAACGCAGCGCACGAGCGCGTCGTCACCTCTATCTCTATATCCCTGGAGCATCTCGTTTCGACGAAGATAAGATTACGACTATGCGATCGAACGAGGTGTGTTAGTCAGATATTTGCACGGCGATATTCCAGAAAACGATCGGAGCGCGTTTTATCACTCCGACAAATTCTCTCCCCATTTCCCTTTATTTCCGCGCTATCCTTTCCTTCCTTGATGAAATCATAAGGAACCTGAGGCATTGCATCTTGCATACGAACGAATCGACGTGTAATTTGATTTGTAAAATCCCCGATTTGGCAATAGTCGTGATCGTGATCGTGCGGCATTCCCTATCCTTCGTGAAAATAGTGAGAATAATTATCAACAATTTTGCGAAGATGTCAGAAAAACGAAGGCGTGAGAATAGCGTAGACGCGACGAGACATATCAGTCAGTATTGATCGGTAGCGGGATTCGACGCGTTACCGAAGTTACATCCCTTCGATTCCGCATTAGACGAACCCTCTGTTTGCCTTTTGGCCGTGCACTCGATCGCGCTCGTCCGAATCAATTTCTTTTCGGCTCGGCTTACACAGCCGCGCGGTCGCCCGCGGATTAATCTATTTGCGTCGGGTGAGGTCGGAAGAAAAGTGCGAAATACACCGCTTCTCGTTGGCTGGATTCGAACCCCTCTCTCCTTCTTCCTTTCCTCCCCGTCGCAAGATTCAGGCGGATGTAATTCGAGACAAGCTGGCTTTCGTACCTTAGGTATTGATGCCCGCCCATTTCAACTGGGTCCGAACGGGTCACGGTCACGTACCGGAACACGCGGTGGAGGCTGGAACGACCACGAACGGGGAAATGCTCTACGTCGGCCGTACATTTCACAACGGCGTATTCTGCGTAGGGAAGGTACGCTAGTAACCGGAACGATTGTTGATCCGCTCATCTATTCGTTAATTTCAGCGATAATTTACCTGCGCGAACGATCAGGAATATTTATGTATACTTTATCTATTGTTTGGCAGGTCCAGAGAAGTCACGGTGTTTTGTACATTCCGTTCGACGGGAAGGAAATACCGTACAGGGAGTATGAAGTCTTGGTGCAATGTTAAATCTTATCCACAATCATTGTGGCGTGCGCATTAATATTTTCATATAAAACTGTCGGGGTGAATAATGAATGGTTCATAATTGCGGGAAAAATTATTTTTACACAAGTATATTTCAGGATTACATATATTTTACGTCGTATTTTATAGTGGACAAATACGTATGATTGGAACATTCTATCTTGATGCTGTTATTTCATTTTATATTTATTTGTATATACTTTTGTGAAATGAAATATTGACAAACTGTGTACCGCAAATTCCGAACAACATTTTGAGTCATATTGCCACGTCTATTTATGAGGGTTTCCCGAGTTGAAGTTAGATTAAAATTTTATAAAGTTGGAGGCGGAGAGTCGCGAGTTCTTATCTATACCCTCGCTTATATAAGTCCTATTAGTATGCAGAGAAAGTAATTTATCGACGCTTAAATTAATGGAAGGAAAGGGCATAATGGGCCACGCCAAGGCCCGGCGACTACCGGCGATGGCGTCGCCGTTTTGCACCCTCTCTTGTAATTTTGAATCGTAATTACGATCCAATTGCAATTCGTCATGTCACTTTTGGTCTTTCGGGTTTATTTTTTGCGCTGACGACGTGCGACGCGGTCGCGAGCATCGAATGATTCAGCGGTATATACGTAAAAGCGTGAGTCAGAAAATATCATTTCTCTGAAACTTCACAACGGGCCGTTCCCCATTGCGCACAAACTTTACGTTTTGTAATTTTCAGTGGAAAGCGAAGACGGTAAATATTAACATCAAATAAACTTTGACTTATGTTATCTCCAAGATGAGACATTAAAGATTATGAAAGCTTGAAATAAGGAGTGAATTTTAAAAGAATAATTATATAATTGATGTAAATAACTAGTAGTTTATTATGACGTCGTATACGTTGAGAAATTGAGATACATTGAAAATACAAAGCAGCTCATGGAAAAGTAGCTCGGTCTAAGTGCTACCAACAGTTTTACCAGTACCAGAAGATATATTTCCGATGAAGACAAAAAAGTATGCGTTATTGGTGGTCTATTTTCAGATTCTCATTTAATATGACAAAACAGTTTATCCTACGTATAACATAATATTCGTATCACTATTTTATTTCAATAAAATTACATTAACGCTAAAACCGAGGTACTTTCTCAAACTTTGTACAACTGCCGCGGAGTTACTCGAGTCAATTACCACGCGCATTTACTTAATCACGGGGATAAGTTACATACAGAGTGGCTCCCTGTGTTTTCTCATCGGTGGCGATTCAATTTTCACGCTTCTCAACTGAGGTCCGCGCTCAAGATAGATCCCAGATGCAAATAAATATTGCCGACTGCGCGAGGGAATTAGAAAGCGAAAGCCGCTGCGATGCAACCAGTGGTCGTTTTCTGCCGCTACACCCGATAGGTGCTGAGCACGTGGCCGTTGCGGCATTATTCCCATAGTTGGCACGTGGCCGTTCGCTCCTTCATCTCCCCCTTCTTCTACCCTCCTCGTCTAACTCATTGTTCCGGGCCTCGAAGCGGAATTGTCAAGGGGGGTTGCGCTATTTAATATTTTGATCGAGAAAAAGCGCGCGTCTGCACAGGGGCGGAGAACGGGGGGTGGAAGAGGCTTGCCCACGTGCGACCGATCGTCCCCTTTTGATTAATTTCGGCTCGGATCGACTGGCATGAGCGAGTGCGAGGCCCGACAAAGGAGCCCGGGAGCGAACACGAGCGAGGAGGGGCTAAATAAAAAAAAAATGGCAACAGCTGGCAGCAAGACCAGAATCAGGCAGACAATGCTGCTTAGGTCGAGGGTGAGAGCCACCCCTCTCATCGCCGAGTCGCCGACGCGAGTCGATTGACACGCGCGCGATCATCCTCGCGTAGTATATGCGCGATACGCCATAATCGACGCGCGTTATGGATGCGCGAAAGGGGAGCGACGTTTATTAGGCCGAAGGGGTGAAACCGGTTCAACCGGAGAGAATTTCCAATGATGAGAATGATGATACGAGATTATTCTTATTATTCTTAACGAGACCCAAACTCCGGATAATCTTCAGGTTTGGCAACGAGCTCCTTTTACCGAGAACTCGGTTAAACGCCGTTTCGCGCGACTGTCGTTGTATTTCGAATGTCGAACTCACAAGTTTGATGTATAACACTTTTTTAGGTAACACTAGATGTCTATATCTGGATTTACAAATATTGGTAAATCGTCGAGACCATTCCCGAGATAAAAAGTTCCTTTCTTCAAGTTTACCTTTTGCGTTATCGCATCGATTTCCGCGATATCGATAGGTGGATGTAAGTGAATAGTGACTTATATCACGAAATAAAAGACCGAGTGCCGATCGTTTTCACGTCTGTCTACAATTTTCATCGTTTCCTCTATCGCGTGCCTGCTTCGCGCTCGGTTGGATCCTTTCTTTTTTTTTCCTTTCTTTTTTTTTACTTGCGTTTGTGCCTCGGACATTGCTGGCATTCGCGTATCGTCGATATACCGAGTCGATAAATCCGCGCTTATTGCGGTTTAGGTCAATCGTATCGTCACATCGTCGAAGCGCAACAAGGGAAAACTCGTTATAGAAATATCCACTCATAATATTGCCGTTGTTCAACGTGAAATTTTCACCGATATTCCTCTTTACAATTTATGTCTTCAATATATTTTCAGTATATACATATATGTTTCGCGGACTGTTTTACATTAAAGTAGAACGGGCCCTTTTTTTCTAGTTTGTCGTAAAATAAAAATTGCAAATACATATATTTATTTCTATAAGCCGATTGCTAATATAAAGGACGGGGATTGAGGTTTTGATGGAAACATCAGCGCGTTCAATCCGACTCGGTCGCGTCGAGTTTCGTACATCGAACGTACTGTCGCGGTACTCATTTCATTTGAGTAAACACGTTTTTTGGAAGCAGCACGGGTCACTCTGCGAGTGACGGATCCATCTACGCATATGGCGCGATAGATACAGCAAGCAGAACCAGAATCGGGATCCGGATTCGAGAGCGGCGAGGGAAAGAGGACAGCTGCTCCCCGTCTCCCCGCTGCGTCGAGAGAGCACAGCGGCAGCTGCTGTTTCGTATTGAGGATCCGCCGATTCCATGATAGGGTGAGTCTATGGCCGATACGTGAGCATGAAACTGCAATCGCGACTGATTTCGGCAATAAAATAAAATTTTGTTTTATCGAGTGAAACGTTAAAGAAGTCCCAGTTAAAGGAGTAACACACATTTTCTTTCTCTTCTTCTTCTTTTCTCTTTCAAAGATATATTTATCTTAAGAGAGAGCTTATGATTCCTGTCTGTACCACAAGCATTTATAAATCCATTCTTTCGTTTATAAAATCTATTCTTATTTTATTATAATTCTTATCTTATGCGATTTTTCCTACGAGTAGTCAGATCAGAGTTCTACACAATACAATCCCATTTCTAGTATTTTATAAAATATCAACTGCGAGACATGTAAGTTTTTTTCTTTTCATACTCTCGTCTTAATAACGAAATCTTGACATTTAACAATTAAACGAGAGGACTTCAGAACAAAAGAACAATGTACTAAAGTTCAAATTACAGGCGCATTTCGAATACATGCTCCGTTCTTAGTGTTTCTCCAAACGAATGGAAGTTAATCTTCCGAAAATCTTGACGTACAGTTCCGAGCGCCTCTCTCGTTGCTTTCTGTTTTAATCTGATTATATGGCACTACCGATACTAATCAATTTAAACGACAGAGCGTGCATTTCCCATTTACGGGACTGTGCGAGGCAAATGTGCGCAGGACAACAGCCCGTTTCGCGTGCTTAACGTACATCCATTATTCGCGGTCCGTGGGAGCGAGCTTTTCACCGTTGTCTGCAATAGGCACGCGCGCGGTGCGCATTGCAGGATGATAACGAGATTCACGCTCTCTCGCGTGATGCGCGTATACGCGTCGCGCTCGTACCAGCTCGTTCCCGGTTTTTCGGGATGAGTTATTTTTTTTCTCGTCGCACGATAATCGTCAAGTTGGCACGGGCCCAGCCACACACCAACAGGTTAGCGCTCGAGGGAGCAGCCCGCGCGCGAGGGGCTCCCCTCCGTCGGTTACGGGAGTCATAGGGTGATCCTCGCGATTCCGCGGGTTCTCTCCCCTTCGTCCTTTCTCGCTCGTACCGCCCCTCCCGTCTGCAGCTGCGCCGCAAACGCGGGCCCCAACACCATCTGCCATTAGAGGCTGCACGCGTGCACACGCGTCTCATCCGGGGCCCCCCCGGTCACCCCCAGCCGTGTAATGGCCTCGTAACAATACGGAATCTAACTACGAACTACTGAGGTCTCGATTGCCCTCGAGTGAGGACGCTTTCTCTCGTTCGGAATTATAAAGAAATATCATCCAAGTGTGTGTTATACGTACTATAATTACTATAATCGCGATTCATTTCCAGTCATTTATTAGTGCTAATATTAGCGAGAATGAGAAATGCGAATAGATGAAGTAATTCTTGAGATTTGAAGCTTGTGTATAATGTATATTCATTGATTGCCAAAGAAAAATTGGCAACATTTTTTCATTAATTTATGTATTAGCATTAGGCGTAAATAATTTTTCTTTGCTGTAATATTTCGAAAGCCGAATTTCTTTTACCGCACGCTCCTTTTGAACGTGATATATATAATCGTATAATAATCTTATACATATTATATAAAATTTTACATATATACTAATATGCTCGCGACAAAGAGTATGAAATCGCTTTTATACTCTTCATATACGATTTCGTAGGGAGAGCCGCGCAGAAATTACCATAACTAAAGCGAATAGAGGGAGTGCGAGTGTGACACGCGACATAAGGGGTGCAACAATAGCCGAAGTGACGATCTTGCGTTTGCAGCGCACGGGCGTGGCTCTGGGCAGTTTAAAAAAAAAGCTTTGTGGTGTCCTGCCGTATAATAACAAACCGGCTCCACAAAAAACTTACTTTTTTCATTGCATCCGCACGCTATTCAACGCGAGGCATTGAGCTCGACAGATGTAAAAGGAGGAATTATATTATAGCAGCTCGAGCAATACGAGTAATAACGCAAAAGAGTGGCTGAAGGGAAGAATCGATCGCGATATGTAACGATTAGTCGATGAATGCAAATTGTCCATAAAATTATAAGTATCAATAATATATTTCAGGATCGGTTCGGGAAATATTTGTGATTAACAAATATTTTTTAAAGAAATATTTCTCTCTTTGCACGAGCTGATGTACGATTAATCGGTCTAATTATTCAGAATGTTTCACATAAAGATGAATATTTTCGTTCGTAAAAGTATTTTCACTCGTTGCTCGTTGCCCGTTACTGCAATTTTTCTTAACTGCT